CAAGAAGGCAGCCATCTGCAAATCAGGAAGGGAGTCCTCATCAAGAACCGGACAATGCTGGCACCCAGATATCACATTTCTAGCCCCCAGAACTGGGAGACAGAAATACAGTGTTGTTTAAGCCACCCAGTTTACGGTATTTTTGTTACAGCAGTCCAAATGAAAACCTGCCTTTTGGTAGTTTTAAATCAACAACAATGTCTTCTTGGACATCAGTATGCTAACTCTCTAAAAGCCACTAAATCATGTTTTTGTCAGCTGTCCCCGAGGAAAATATATTCTGGCCTTATGAAGAATCAAAAAAGTAGAAAACAAATTTCTTAAAGTAGCAGAAAAGTTCTTTGCATCTTAGCTGTCTTCCCAATAAATAACAAGCCAAATTCTTTTAAGATCAAGGAGTTGAAGATTTACTTCTTTTTTAATCATTGCTAACTGCATGACATTTCTCAAGCATTCTCTTCACAGAAGACATTTCTCTAGCCAGATAATTCTGCAAGACATGCCAGAAGAGAAAACATCTGCTTTCCACATTTAGGACCTCTTCAGCTGGTTTTGCAACAGAAACCTCAATCTAAGGTCAAATCATTGTAATAACACAGTCTCTGGCACAGTTGATGTGGTTGCAATGTGAAATGAATTGGGAGAAAACAGAAGTGAACCAATGTGGCCTCAAATAAAATGTCAAATTTCCACAAGAAAGCCTACTAAAAAGACATCCAGAACAATGAGTAGCTGAAAACAATCCACAAACATTCTACTCTGCTCTTCTACAACTGACAAGGTTTATGGAAAGAATGATTTCTGCCCTGCATGACAACAAAGAAAGCCATTTCCAATTCAGTCCAAAAAAACAAACAACTTCAGTAAATATTTATTGGGTACTACATTAGTTTGTGAGGGCTGCCATACCACAGACTGGATGGCTTAAACAACAGAAATTTATTTTCTCACAGTTCCGGAGGCTAGAAGTCTGAGATCTAGGTGTTGGCAGTGTTGGTTTCTTCTGAGATCTCTCTCCTTGGCTTGTAGATGGCAGTCTTCTCTCTGTGTTTTCCCATGGTCTTCCTCTGTGTACATCTGTCCTAATCTCTAATTATAAGGACACAGGTCATACCGGATTATTGCCCACTCTACTAGGCTCATTTTAATTTGCTCATCTATGTAAAGACCCTATCTCTAAATTCAGTCATGTTCTGAGGTACTGGGCAGTTAAGGACCTCAACACACGAATCTGAGGGACACAATTCAGCCTATAACAAATACATAAGAGGTGTCTGGCACTGTGTGCAAACAGACTAGCATTGAAAATCAAAGGAAGTTCTCAATTGGTTCATTTTCTCTACAGAAACACAAATCTGAAAAGAAATCAAGAATCATTTTTGCCTTAGGATGTGGCAAATGGAGCTTTGGAACTGATTCATATCCAAAAGAAGGATCTCCTGCCCTAGCAACACAGGAAGATCCCATTTCTACAAAGTAGAAAAAAAAATTAGTCACGTGCGGTGGTGAGTGCCTGCAGTCTCAGCTACTTGGGAGGCTGTGGTGAGAGGATCGCTTGAGCCTGGGAGATCAAGGCTGCAGTTAGCCATGATCATGCCACTATACTCCAGCCTGGGCAACAGTGCGACCTTATCTCAAAAAAAGGGAAAGTGCTGTCTGCCTGTTGTGAAAGTGATCTTCCACAGATAGCTTATCCCATGAACACTGGTGCTCATGCACATGTGTATGTACTGGTGTCTCCAGGTTGGCTAACATGGTCTCTGCCTCATGGCCAGTCCATTCCTCAGTGATGTGGTCACATTTCTGTTGGTTCTTCTTTCAGACACAGCCCTAAGGCCTCATTCTGGCAGTCAAAGTCAGGTTCCCGGTTTGCTGCCTCCAACAGCTCCACTCTGTGAGATCCTTCTGGGAAGTCTGGTTAATTTTGTTTGTACTTGGCAAAACGAAGAACTGCATGCCCTTCAAAAATAACCTTTCAAACTTTACCTCAGGCCCAAGGTTTTGCCTCTCTTTGCAAGGAAATAAAAGTGCCAAGAACGTTGCCCTTATTTAGGAGATACAATATATCTTTTTAGTGAAAAATGGGTTCTCTTCTAATTTGCTGTTCAGAAGGACTATAATTGGTTTTGCATACTTACAACTTCTCTTTTTAGTCTTTCTGGAAATCTAACATGCTAAATGTTCTTGGCTCTCAATTGAATCCTTCTTACCTCTAGGCACCATTCAATGTCCATATTTTTTCACTAGACAGCTCTCATTTTACATCCTCTTAGTGTATTACTATATTTTTAATTCTATACAGAGGATCTCACTTATTTCTCAACTGTCCATTGCTCCAACAATTATTTTTACTTAAAGTATGTAATCTTTTCCTTTGATTAATAATATCAGAATACCATGGTGTGTTTAAGTGCTAAGACACTGAGGACAGCACCACTCAAGAAAGAGTGAATCATCTGTAGAGCCAGCCTTGCAGAGTTAATCTGCCCTTACCTAGTGGTGGCCATAGACTAAAGTCTCTATGTACAAGGGAAGTCAAGCTCTACTGCTGAAGTCTAAAACCTAAGCTCTCCATAGCTAGAAGATGCCATAAAGCAGAAACAAGCCACTGTCCTGCCCTTAGTAGGTGGTTCCATATAAATAAGAACAGGAACAGAATTTGGGTGACATGATACCAGAATTGAGGACTAGACTGGCAGGGAGGGATGTTGTATTAGTCCATTTTCATGCTGCTATAAAGCACTTTCCGAGACTGGGTAATTTTTTTTTTTTTTTTG